GGAATTATTAGTCGGAGCAAGAAGAGGGGAATCATTAACATTCTGGGCATTTGGCTGTTATACTTCAAGTGAATATGCCAGAGATCTACCTTCAACTTGTAGTAAAGTTGAGGTAGCACTTGATGGTAACTTCTGTAACTTCTGTGCTTGCATAGAAGTAATACCAGTCAGTTTTGAAGAACCATTCAGAGCCATTCAGAAATCCCATAAGGTATGAAGTATGCTTTGAAAGAGTGATACAATTGATATTTATATAAGCAGAACAGACAAAATAAATCCACTTAAATGTATTTTTTAAGGACAAAGATTTTTGAGAATTTGGAGTAACAAAATTTTCTGCTTGAGCAAAGATGTGTTTATTTTGCATTTTTCAGCTCCAAGCAAATAGTCCTCATGGCTTTAAAAGGGTAGTGGTAGTGGTAATGTGTTCTGTTGTTGTTTTAATGTGAGGACTACAGGAATGCACAGGGCTCTCATTTGCAAGTAGGCCTTCCATCTCCTACATAGAAGCATTGGTTGTAAAAGACAACATAGACCTACTTGTTAAAGCATCACTTATTTAGTAGTATTCAGTAGGTCAGTTGTATTTCCTGAAATATTCTGCTCAAGTTATTTGCGAAGAACTGAAGGAACTTTTAATGACACCTAAAACCGCTGCTTTAATGTTTTTAGGCAGAGGGGATTTTGGTTGGCGTGTGATGTGTGCTAAGAATAATAGCAAACACTGATAGAGTGCTTGTTATGTGCCAAGCAGGCATACGGTAACGAATTTAATCTTACAACCTTATGAGGCAGGTTCATTTTTATCCTGTTTTCATATGAGGAAATCTAGCCAGAGAGGTTAAGTAACTTGCCCAAGGTCATATAGTTAGTAAAGTGGTGATGCTTAGATTTTAACCCAGACAGATTGCTTCCGAGTCAGCGTCTGAGCAAGAATATTCCCTTTGTGTCAGGGGTCTCAGAGATGGTGGAGGTGGAGGTGTGCAGGAGTTGCTTTTCTGTCTTTTCTTCTGGTGCGGTATGCACCCTAGAGTACAAACGTAAGCACACGTCCAGCTTTATAGCTCAGAATAGAGCAGCATATCTGTGGATGGGGAAACCCATCGGTCTGTGAAATCGTCTGCCCCATGACGAATTAGGAAAACACATAATTTACATATTCTAATTTGACAGCAAACATGTGGTCATGAGGTTTTAGGCAAAGCTGGGACTGAAGACTTGGGTCTTCTGCCTCAGGTACGATTTGTTTTCATGCATGTTTGGTGCCTCTCACTTAACCTAATAGTATGCTGTGTCCATTCTTCTCTCCTTTTCTCTTTTGTTTAAATTAAATTGCAGAACACAACAATTTACTGAGGTATGAGGAACATTTTTTTTTTTAATTAAAAAAATAATATATGACATGTATTAAGGATACTTTGCACATTTCTATGTTAGTTATAAACATGAGTGGCATGCTATATAAACTACTTACTGTGGATAACAAAGTTTGAAGGGCATTATTCTAGGTACACTGGGTTGATTGAAAGCCTCCAGGTAACAAGTAGGTTTTTACCCAAGATTATGTCCTATTTAGGTTCTAAAGATTTGTTTTTATTTCACATCTTGAAGAAAAATGGGCTTCTGTTTATATGATCTCAGAAAAAAAAACAAAAAAACAAAAACCTTTTCCCCTACAGTTCAAGTAGCTGATTAAATGGATTTTTGAGCATGGTGTCACATTTAGTTCCATGAGGACAGAGACCATCCGTGTCTATATTTATCCCTAGGGCCTGGCTCTTAGTAGATTCTCAATAAATATTTATTGGTAGTAGGACCAATGTTTTGGTTACATTTTTCTCTAGGAAGTTAGAGAAACCACCTGTGTCTGAGTGTGTCTGTGAGTGCATCTGTGGGACCCTTAGAGGGTTTGCCTCAGGAGATCTCCTTTACAGGGCTCTGGGAGGAATAAAGGATCATTACATCCTATTTTATCTGGAGGATGTGGTTCAAACCTGGGTGGCTGAGATTTTGGTTCTCTCTGGGACCCCGTTTTCTGCCATGTTTTTAGAGTGATATAATGTTAACTAGCATGGAAATTCTGGGTCCTAGTCTCAGTTGTGGAAGTGAGACCCTCAACAAACATTGACAAAGCACTGCCTCTTATTGAGCACTAGGAACTAGTAAATGATTTACATGTATTGTTAACCTGTTTAATCAGCACAACACCTCTATGAGGTTGCTTACTATTTTGACCTCCGTGGTACAGATGAGAAAACTAAGGTTCAGAGGATTTAAATGTTAGTTCTCCATAATGGCTGCTATGTGTGAGACTGAGGATACAGTGCCTTGCCCTTCTGAAGCTTATATTCTAATGCCGAAGACCTGCGGTAAACAAGTAAACACAAAATACTATGTAATTTTATGCAGACACAAATGCTGTGAAGAAAAATAATGGTTGAAAAAAAAATTATGGACGAATCGGGACCAGCCTGCCATTTAGAGGGAATAATCAAAGAACACCTCAACAACAAGGGTAAATTTGAACAGAGACCTAAATGGAGTGAGGGAGTTAGCCTTGTGGATAATCTGGAGGAAGAGGCAGAAGGATAGCAAGGGCAAGGGCCCTGATCCAGTAGAGAGCTTAGCTTGTTCAGGCAACGTTAAGAGGGCCAGTGTAGCTTGAATCAAATGCGTAAGAGGAGAGTGGTAGTTGTTGAGGTGAGAGAGGGCAGAGGGCCAGATCAGGTGAGGCCTTGATTGTAGATCATTGTAAAGGAGTTTGGACTGTGTTCTGACGTCTTCTACATACAGACAAGGTCTTCTTCTAGGGGCAGAGACCTCTAAGGTCCTTTCCTGCTTTAGAGACTTCAGTGATGTCATATCAAGCCATTCAAGTCAGTCGACCTGTTTTAATAGTTCTGTAGAAGACTTGCTTTGCACCTCTGGATACTCTTCCAGGCAAAGCCATTTACCCCTGCTGATCTTTTTCAAGAGGGTGGCCAACTGCAGCCATAAAAGCCATGGCTGGGCTTGTCTGCTGCCCTGCTGTCTATCAAAGCTGTGGTGGGCATGAGCTGTTGACCAATATGTGGTATGTGTTTAAAGAATGTTAATTCCTACAAAGAGTCACTTTGTGTTTTCTGGCACAACTGATCATTTTCATCCTGTAACTCTCTTTTTCTAATTTGCTCAAATACTCCTTGTCCTCCCCTGTAGAGAGTGTTACAACTCGGGGTAGTAATGAAGTATTTGACAACCGTGTGAGTTGTAGGAACATATGCCCCTTTTTGTTAATAGAGGCGTAATTGTAACCAAAGAAATTTAATTTCTTCTTTAGCAAACACTGACATTTCTGTTTAAGAATGACTGCTAGAGTAAAAGGAAATACCATGTATCATGAATTACACTGGAAGTTCTTTCTGTAATAGCTCAAAACTGGCCTATGGCCAAAATTAAAACCATATGAGCATATCATAAATCTCAACTCTTACTGTGTTTGCTTCTAATTCTGTTTGGAATAAGGCTTCAAATGCTTTCCAGAATGATGTGAGTTACAAATAAATAGAAAAAAGAGTTATCCTGTGTTCCATTTACTTTATTTATACATATCCATTTCAAGAAAAAAAAAAAGATTTTAAAAATACAGTTCTGTCCCAGAAATGGATCCTTATCTGCACAACCATTGAAGAAAAAAAATCATGCAAACGGAAACTATGGTCTTTTCTAGTGACTGAATGGAAGATGCATTTATTCCAGTAGAATATATAAGAAACTCTTATTTGGCAACTGATAGCACAAAAGAGAAACCAGCTCACCAGTTTGATATGAGGAAACACAATTTTACATACGGATAAAAGGTTTGCAAACCCCTGGAAAAGGCCTGTATGGAACAAATACAGCATTGGGATCTGTTAAACATGGTGTACTGACATGCGCTTTCCACCCACGTCAGTTTTGTTACTATATTTCTTACTTGCTTGGTAACTAAATAGATAATCGTTTAAAACCAAAGCCATAAGTTGACATTAGTCCAGTGAATGTGATAACAAACCACCGCATGCTTTTAAATTCTGTGTGGTCATTGGTTTTAACGTATAATTCCCCAAATGCACCACCAGGTTTAGAAGAGACTAGGTTATTAGATAATTTATCCAATTTGTTCACTTAGCCAATACAACACTATTCCAAGTAGCCAGTATCATAGAAATGAATAGAGAAATGTTACCGGTGACTAGTCTAGATTTGGTATCTTGGAAAAGCTATACAATTTCACATATAAAAAAGCTCTTGGGCTTCCCTGGTGGCGCAGTGCTTGAGAGTCCGCCTGCCGATGCAGGAGACGCGGGTTCGTGCCCCGTTTCGGGAGGATCCCACATGCCGCGGAGCGGCTGGGCCCGTGGGCCATGGCCGCTGAGCCTGCGCGTCCGGAGCCTGTGCTCCGCAAATGGGAGAGGCCACAACAGTGAGAGGCCCGCATAACGCAAGGAAAAAAAAAAAAAAAAAAAAAGCTCTTATCACATTTTTTCAAATTTAATCAAATTTCTTATGAACAATTTGTGTTGTCTCATCAACCCAATCTCTTCAGCTCTGAGCTGGATGAGACTTGAGGAGACGTCCAGAGGAAGGGGCCCAGGCCTGCCCCCCATCTTAAGGGCCTTAATCAGGTAACAAGAGATAGATCTTCAGAAGAGGAAGGAAGATGTGATGGGGCATTAGGGTTGCTAACTCCTCCCTATCTGCAGAGAGTAGAACCGAATGATCAGACTAGTAAGTCCTGAAGGCACAACTGACACAGATGGGCACTGCACTGCTGTTCATGTACTAATTTAGCTCAGAGGTGATAGAAAAGGGTGCTGCTGTGAGTGCAGACAGCTGTCTGACTTAGGAAGAAAAAGTTGGATAATACCAAATACACCATGCATGATTTCCAGACACCTCTCAGGTCAAGCTGGGAAGCAAACAGCAATGTCAGGATTTGGGGGCAGGGGGCATACAAAAGGTTTAAATGGAAACATACAGTGTTAAGGGATGAACTTTTAATAGTTTTCTCTGTCTCCACTCTCCTTAACATACATGCATTTTTGCCTTCAGAAAATAGAGTCAATAGCTGTGCAGAGTTGAAGAAAAACTTCCTCTGGTGTCCCCTCTGCATTTATCTATGTTAAAAAGGAAAGAAAGAGAAAGTTAGTCTTAAGAAATGTTTGTAAATAAGGCCACTTTTAGTAATAAAAAAGATTACCTGCTTATAAGTTGCTGTGCAAAATTTTAAAACACAGGACTCCAAAATCACAGAGAAAAGAGTAGTTGTTTAAAAACTAGGTGCCTAATTAAAAAAACAAGACACGACTACACACCTATTAGAATGGGCAAAATCTAAAACACGGCATCAAATACTGGTGAGGATGTGAAGCAACAGGAACTCTCATGCTTTGCTGATGGGAATGCAGAAGGGTACAGTCACTTGGGCAAAGAGTTTGGCAGTTTCTTACAAATTAAACATTCTTAGCATATGATCCAGCAGCCTGTGCTCTGGTACTTACCCAAAGGAGTAGAAAACGTATGTCCACACTAAATCCTGCACACATGTTTATAGGAGCTTTATTCATGATTGCCAAAACTTGGAAGCAACCTAGATGTCCTTAGGTGAGTGGATAAATAAACTGTGGTACATCCAAACAATGGGATATTATTTAGTGCTCAAAAGAAATGAGCTCTCAAGCCATGAAAAGACTTGGAGGAAACTTAAATGCATATTACTAAATGAAAGAAGCCAATCTCAAAAGGCTGCACACAATATGACGTAATGGAAAAATGGCAAAACTGTGGAGACAGTAGAAAAGATCGAGAGCTGGGGGGAGAGAGGAATGAGTAGGTGGAACGCAGGATTTTTATGGTAGTGAAACTATACTGTGTGATATTATAATGGTGGATACATGTCACTATACATTTGTCAAAACCCATAGAACGTGCAACGCCAAGAGTGAACCCTGATATAAACTATGGACTTTGAGTGGTAATGATGTGTTGATGTAGGTTCATCAGTTATAATGAATGTGCTACTCCTGTGTGGGATATTTTTGTTCTGGGGGGTTTTTTTTGGCCGCACCGTGCGGCTTACAGGATCTCTGTTCCCCGACCAGGGATTGAACCCAGGCCCCCTGCAGTGAAAGCTTGGAATCCTAACCGCTAGGCCACTGGGGAACTCCATGTGGGCTGTTGATAGTGGGAGAGGTTGAGTGTGTTTTGGGACATGGGGAATATGAGAACTCTATTTTGTGCTCAATTTTGCTGTGAACCTACAGCCCGTCTAACAACAACAGCAAGAGCTAGGTGCTTATTGAGGTAGATAAAGTACTGTTAAAGGTCACGGAAAGGCTTTGAGTTAGTTAAAATGAGACTTCTGAGTGTTCTGGAGTGTTTGGAGCAGGGTAGGAATAGGGCAGAGGTTGGGGCATGAGAAGGATGGGTGTGGAAAAGAAAGCAAAAGTTGAGACCTCAACTTGCAGGTGTGCTAAGTGCTAAGGGCAGAGCCCTCTTGGAGACTGTTGATATGCCAGGGCAAGGACCCAACAACAGAGGAAGTAGGAGGGAGCTGATTTCCCGGGCATGAAGGCACTAATACCCCCTCCTCTCAAAATTCCCTAACATCGTGCCAACCACTGAGATTTGTCCCACCACACATGTCGCATCCATAGAAAGTAGAGGCCTGGTGATGCAAATGAGACTCATGGAGGGGGTGGGGTTGTGAGCTTGCTAAAATGCAGCTTTTTCATACTTCATCTCCAGAGGTTCTCATTTGGTGAGTTTCGGCTGGGCCTTCTAATCCGCGAATTTAATCAAGTTCTACAGATGATTTTGATGTGGGTCATCTCAGACCACACTTTGAGAAACTCTAGATGATTGCTTCAGTTCCTGTCTACCTTCTTTGTGCAAACGAGTTTTGATTTCACAACCCCTGAGATTCCAGAGGTAGAATGAATGCTCAAAAGGGGAAAAAAAAAAAAGTACACATTTAGGGACTTCCCTGGTGGTCCAGTGGGTAAGACTCCACGCTCCCAATGCAAGGGGGCCCGGGTTCAATCCCAGGTCAGGGAACTAGATCCCACATGCCACAGCTAAGAGTTTGCATGCCACAACAAAGATCCTGTGTGCCACAACTAAGACCCGGCACAGCCAGATAAAAAAAAAAGTACACGTTTAAATATCCTAGAAAATAGATAATAACGATGTTTGTACAAGCATTGTTTGTAGTAGTCCCAAACCGGAAAAAGTGCAAATGTCCATCAGCAGTAGATGGATAAATAAATTGTGGCACAGTCATATAATGGAATACTATAGTAATGGAAAAAACAAACAACTACAGCTACATCCAGCAACATGGATTAATCTCACAAGGTTGAGGGAAAGAAACAAGTTGAAAAACTATGCATTCAGTACGATTCAATTTATATGAAGTTCAAAAATGACCAAAGCCAAATTATATCGATTAGGGATCCATACACAGATGATAAAACCACAGTGAACCAGGGAAATAATTATCATAAAAGTCAGGATGGTGGTTACTTCCTGGGGAGAAGAAAGGAGATTTGCTTGGGAGGGAGAGACATGTGGCAGAACTTCTGTGACTGCTGTTTCTTGACCTGCATGGTGATTACACGGTGTTCATTTTATAATTCTTCAAATTTTACATATAACTTTTACGCATTCCTGTATGTATGCTGTATCTCACAACAAGGAAAAAATAAAACCTAAAAACATTTTTTCAGCTTCTACCCCTCTTCCCCATAAACATATCATACTTGATCCTTACAGGAGGGTTAAAGAGCAACCCGCAGTTGGTTTGTCTCCCTGGCTGGCGGCTCTCCATCTGGGGGGCAGGGACTTTGCTGTTTTCTGTCCCTCATAGCATCTTGCTTGTTGCTTTACCTCTTCTTCCTTTCCCTTTCAACCAACAAACATCTTCTGGGTGCCAACAATATATTACGTGCTGGAGAAACCACGGTGAAATGGACATAATGGTCCTGCTCTCGAGCTCACAGCTCAAGGGTAGAGACAAACAACAGGAATTCACGCTGTTGTCAGGTAAGCACAGGAGCTCTGGATAAAGGGATACTTTACACCATCTTGGGAGGGCAGGAAGCTTCCTGAGGAAAGTTGTCGTCGTCATCATCATTAAAAATAATACACTTTACTACTAATGAAGCATAAGTGCTATTTTTTTTCACTTCCACCCTTACTTTACTTTCTCCCTTCCTTTTCTCCCCTCCCTCCTGCCCTCTCTTAATCCCGTCCATCCCTCCATCCCTGCTTTGCTCACTCCCTCACTCCCTACTGGGCTTCCTCCATCTATCACACATCCCTTTTCTGCTCCTCTCTCATTCCCTCTCCTCTCACTTGCTGCCTTCTTCCACCCCCTGCTCCATCCTCCCCTCCTCCCTAGCACAAGTGCTTTTAAACAAACAGGTAATTCTAACAATGATCTTAGGCGACAGGTATTGTTATCCCCATTTCACAGATGATGAAACTCAGGTCCTGAAAGACGAATTAAATTTCCCAAGGTCATACAGCTAAGCAAGTGTCAGACATCTGGTTCAAACCCAGGTCTCTGACTCCAAAGTCCTTGTACTTGTTGACTACATCCTTGTATATTACATCCACCAGTTCAAAATAGCTGGATGGTTGAACTTAGTGGGAGTAGCAAGGAGTGAAGCTGGAATAATAAAAAGAGGTTGACTATAAAGAGGCTAATAGACTGTTATATAAGAATAATGGGGAGTCGGGTAATGGTTTTTAAGGAATAGGTTGACATAATCAAACAGAAACATTTGTTTCCTCAGAGATTGGCTCTAGATAGGTATCTAGAAAGTATCCTCTAGATATCCAGTGATCCCACTCCTGGGCATATATTTGGAGAAAACTATAATTCGAAAAGATATGTGCACCCCAATGTTCACAGCAGCATTATTTACAATAGTCAAGACATGGAAGCAACCTAACAGATGAACCTGATGCAGATGAACAGAAGCAACCTGACAGATGAATGGATAAAGAAGATGTGGTACATATATACAATGGAATATTACTCAACCATTAAAGAAGAGTGAAATAATGCCATTTGCAGCAACATGGATGGACCTAGAGATTATCATACTAAGTGAAGTAAGTCAGAAAGAGAAAGACAAATATCATGATATCGCTTATATGTGGAATCTAAAAAAAAATGATGCAAATGAACTTATTTACAAAACAGAAATAGACTCATAGACATAGAAAATAAATGTATGGCTACCAAAGGGGAAAGGCATGGGGGGGGCGTCAATTAGGAGTTTGGGATTAAAATATACACACTACCTTATGTAAAGTAGATAACCAAGGACTTCACTGCTGGTCCAGTGGTTAAGAATCCATCTTGCAATGCAGGGGACCCCGGTTCGATCCCTGGTCGGGGAACTAAGATCCCACATGCCTTGGGACAACTAAGCCCTCATGCTGCAACTACTGAGCCCAGGTGTCACAACTAGAGAGAAGCCCACGCACCACAATGAAGAGCCCGCGTGCTGCAACGAAAGATCCTGTGTGCCGCAACTAAGACAGAAAGCAGCCAATAAATAAATAAATATTTTTTAAAAATTAAATAAAATAGATAACCAACAAGGACCTACTGTATAGCACAGGGAACTATACTCAATATCTTGTAATAACCTATAATGGAAAAGAATCTAAAAAATGAATACAAATATATAACAATCACTTTGCTGTACACCTGAAACTAACACATCGTAAATCAACTGTATTTCAATTAAAAAAAAAAAGTACCCTCATTTTCCCATTCCTTCTTCCCTTTTCTCACAGAAACAGGCTATTGTAGGAGCAGAAACACACTTTTGGAGCCCATTTTCTGACCCACTATCTGGACTTTATAGAAAGATATGGATTCTCTCTTGTAAAAGCTGGGCAACTTGGTTTCAGAAACGAGGGCTAATGAGCGCAAGCATCTGAAGGGCGACACTTGATACTTTCTGACGTCTGAGACTGAGAGGCAGAAAGCTTTGCAGCGGGTTCTTGTCAATCAGGCCAAGGCTGATGTTTGGGGGAAGCTGCAAGCTGGGCTGAAGGAGTGAGTCATGCCCCGGAGCTTTAGCTGGGCCATCTCCCG